CGCCTGCGCAGCCTGGCGACCAACATCTTCGAAGACTGCAAGGAGCTAAAAATCGCTCCCGCCCACCCACAAGCTGGGCTGGACTTAAGGATCGCGGGCGTGTGTGTGTGTGTGTGTGTGTGTGTGTGTGTGTGTGTGGTGGGAGTATTGTAGTGAAGGGGGTGGAATGGAAAGTGGGTAGGCTGTCTAGGTGCCTGTCCAATTAGGGCAGTAGGAAGAGTCCTAGTGGCCAGACAGGTGAATGGAGGACTCAGGGTAGCAAGGCTAGGAAGGGCTCTGGAGGTGGTGAGGGGCGAGGCTTATGAACAAACATGTTTACAGCTGCTGAAGCGTTGGTGGCCCCGAGGGGTTCGAACCCTGGGGCAATAACTTTACTTGCTGCACCTTTACCCCCAGACTGTCCAAGTGCCTGGGCAAGAACCTAGGTCCCCTCTCCCTCCGACTCCGGTGGGGCCAGGCGCCACCCAGGCCATCCTCGAGGGGGCGCGCTAGGATGCAGCCCCTCCATCAGCCTCCGGGATACCCCGGCGACGCCTGAGGGGCGGGGTCCGCGCTGCCAGGACTCGCGGACACAGCACTCTTCGGCCGAGAGCATCCTCTGGCAGTACGAAGGGGCGCCACGGCTGACCCCGGTGCAAGTTCTCCTGCGTTCTGCTCGGCCCCGCCCCAGGGCACCGACCCCATCCCCTCCTTGGAGCCCGGGCTGCGGCGTACCTGCAGCCTCCGGCGGCGGATCAGGCCAGAATCGTCCATGGCGGCAGCGATTTCGGTCCGGGGGAGGGAGGAGGGAGGCGGCGGCGGCAGGAGGAGGGAGGAGGGAGGGAGAGAGAAGCCTCGGGGACCGCGGCGGCGGCCGGCGAGGGGGGGCAGGGGGCGGAGCGAAGCGGGGCGGGCCCGGCGCCGTCACTGCGTCTGGGAGCCGGAGCCCGCTTTCGGCCACCGCTGCCCGCGCTGGGGGTCGGGGGGGGGGGAAGGGGGCGCGGGTAAACGGGGTTGGGTGGGTGGAGTCTCCAGATGTCCCTAAGGGAGACAGACCCTATCAAGACAGTCTCTTTCACAGACCCTCCAACCCAAGAAAGATCCCCAAGGGAGCTATTCTCACAGACGAATTCCCCGTGCGACTAGAGCCCCCCCAACACACACACAGGAAACACATTCTCACAAGACTGTGATCTGCTATAAAGAGCTGTCCCCTCACCCTGAAAATTACTCCTAATAGAGATAATGTCTGAAAGGTGACGTTTCATCTCAATTTCTCCCTTCCTGAGGAGGCATTTCTTCAAAGATCCAATAGGTGACATCTTTGGGAACCCTGGAAAGACTATTCCTCCCCCCCAATGGGACCACTCGAAGGTATATTCTCTTCTCTGTGGGAAATTGTCTCCACCCCAGGGCACCCTCAGATCCCCACAGATGCATTCTTCCAGAGTCACGTGTTCAAGCAAGAGGCTGGACCTCATGGGAGTGTCCCCCTCAGAAAAACGTGTATATACACACAGACCTCCTTCCTTTGCTTGCTACAGGGCAAAGTCCCTCAAGTCTTGCACCCCCTCCAGAGTTTCGGCCTCATGGTCAAGATTAAGGAGTCAGGCCAGGTCAGGGTATATTTATAAGAGCGATTAGCTGGTAGTTGGGGAGGGGGCAGATGAAGCGAGTTTTGCTCCTCCCCCAATAATCTCTCAGCTGAGCCCAAACCAGACCATGCTTCTCAGAGTTGGAGAGAACACCATCTGAATCCTACACAGAACAGGGAGGTCTTTCTTCCCTTGGGTAGCATCCTGTAACTGACCCAAGGTCTTGGAGGGCAGGGTCTCTGGACTAGAGCGACCTCTGCCGGACAACGGAGACGACAACGAAGTCTGGGTCAGTGTGTTCTTGGTTGGTCCTCACGTCTGCACCCTTGCCTGTATTATTGTTGTCTGTGTCTTTCTTTCTGTTGGTCAGCGTAGCCGTCTCAGTGAGTCTCTTGCTTGTGTTGCCCTCTCTGTTCACGGTTTGTATTTTTCTCATGTTCCTGGTCGGGAAAGCTGTCCCTGGTGCTGGCCTCGTGCTACTGTCCACGGTGCTGAAATAAAAACGTCCTAAAGGAGGTGAGGGCGTGTGTGTGCACAGGATCACGCGGGAGGGAAAACCCACAAACAGGATAAATATGACTCACAACAACCTTGACATAGCCCAGACAAAAGCTGGATCCTGTAGACTTGATTCCTGGGGTCTCTGTGATGCCACTATTGACCACAGAAAGGTGGAGGCAGGAGTTCCCCTGGGCTCCATAGGGGTATCTTAGAAGAGGGGGAGGCATTATTAATTCATTAATTTCCTTACTCAACATTTACTGAGCATGTGCTGTGTGTAAGTGTAGAATAGTATTTGGCAATATAGGAGTTCATCAATAAAAGACATAAAAAACAAAAAACAAACAAAGCCCTCTCTTGGAGCTGGAGAGATATCTGATTCATTAAGAGCACTGGCTGCTCTTCCAGAGGACCTGGGTTTGATTCTTGGCACTCATGTGGCAGTTTACAACCATTCATAACTCCAGTTCGAGGAGATCTGATATCTTCTTTTGGCCTCCTTGGACAACAGGTCCAGACATGCACGAAGCCAAAACACCTCTACACATAAAATAATTTAAACTTTATATAAAAAGTATGGTTGCTGCTCATGCAAAGGACTAGAGTTTGACTCCTAGAACCCACATTGGTTCACAATGGCTTGTAACTCCAGCTCCAGGTGATCAGAGGGATCTGACCTCTTCAGGCACAGATAGCCCCTCCCAAGGCATACTAAAAAATAATTAAAATAAGTCATGAAAAAATGCCTGCTGTACCCTGAGATAGGAGAAAGACACATTTCTGGTGGTGGTATACATATTCTACAAGAATGGAAGAATATACTTTTAAAACATGCATATGGCCAGGCAGTGGTGGCACACGCCTTTAATCCCAGCACTTGGGAGGCAGAGGCAGGCGGATTTCTTGAGTTCGAGGCCAGCCTGGTCTACAGAGTGAGTTCCAGGACAGCCAGGGCTATAAAGAAAAACTCTGTCTCAAAAAAACCAAAAAAAAAACAAAAACAAAAACACATGCATATGAAATATGAATACAACCAGAAATAACGTTGCACATAGATAATACACACACATGTGCACACACACACTGAACATACTTACACATCTGTCCTCCTCAAGCACAGGCACAAGTATTAACATATACTTTGTGCATACTTCTCAAATAAAGACCCACCTGTCCCCCAAAACCTCACAAAAGGGGTTGGGAAGGTGGCTCAGTGGTTAAGATAATATACCACACTTGGAGAGGACCTGAGTTCGGTTCCCGGCACCCATGTCAGGCAGCTCACAACTGCCTGTAACAGCAGCTCTGGTTGATCTGATCAGAGGACTCTGACCTCAGCACTCATATCCACAGATGCATATGGACACATACACCCCATAGAGACATTGTTACAAATAGTAAAACATATAAAAAGAAAACCACAAACACATAATGATCAGAGAATCACACACAACATATGTATATATTTGTGAATATCCAGCAAACATTATGTACATAAACATACACATTATGTACATAAAACTCATACCCTACAATCATATAAACATATACTTAGGAAACACAGACAGACACTCATCAAATGCAAGTATGCTCAATAATACTCTTGAACATTTCAACGTACACAGTTCCCAAACCCAAGGATGCTCAGTAGTGCACAGTTCCCTCCTGGTGCACAGACACATTGCTTCCCACACAGCTCACCAACTCATACACAGATTCCTGTAAGTCCTTGCATACCCTACCTTCTTCTCCAGGGCTGTTTCCCCCTCCCCAACCTGGTTCTCCATCTTGAGTTAATTCTGTGAAGACTGGGATTTTTATGTCTTGTATACAAGTGCATCACCCAGAACCCAGCACAGAGTATGTGTTTAATAAATGTCTTTTGAATTAATGGACAGAATGCTAAAGGACACAGATTTACAAAAACTGGAGAAAGGCACAGAAGCACCACCAGCATGCACATGAAACTACTTACCCAAGAAACATCCTCTCCACAACACAGAGAGAAGAGACACAGATTCAGGAATCACAGGTCACAGATAATACAGAGAGAGAGAGAGAGAGAGAGAGAGAGAGAGAGAGAGAGAGAGAGAGAGGGAGAGAGAGAGAGAGAGAGAGAGAGAGAGAGAGAGAGAGAGAGAGAGAGGAGGGATAGCTTAAATCCTAAGTTTAGCATAAGGCAAGCTTGTGGATATAAATGCACCAGTCCCAAGTGCACCTGTTTTAGAGTTGTGGAGGTGGGCCTTTGAAAGTCCCCGCCTCTTAACCAAACCACACCCCCTTTCAGTTGCCGCTCTTTGCTGGCCTTGGTTCGGTGGTTCTGATGTGTTTCAGTATCCCCTAGACTCCAGTCGGCTAACAGGTGAGTGGCAATGGGTAGAGCGTCGGGAATCTTGTCTCCCGTATCTTTACCTTCTTCTGTCCAGAAGCTTTGAGACCCTAGAGGCAGAACCGCAGCCTACACAATCCGGCCTGGTGCTAAGGGTCCAGGCCTGGATGGAAGCTCCTAAGCCGATTGTGCACCAAGAGAAGGTGACCGTGAAAGGAGTGAGCAGGGGGCGGGGTGTGTGTGTGTGTGCTGAAAATAGAGAGAGGAAGTCCTGGGTGGAGGAGGGGCTTGGAAGAGCCGAGGTGGTCCCGTTACTCTGAAGGAACTTGGTAGCAGAGGACAAACAGGGTGAGAGGTTCGTTGCGTGGGAGTGGCGGGAGTGGCGTTTTGGCTGGAGGAAAGAAAGAGATGTATCTGGTGGGAGGGGCTCTTGGGTGAGAATCCGCCTAGGGTTTGAAGAGCCATTGCCTGGCCCCCTCATCCTCTGTGCTACCTGGCAGCGATTTCTGGTGCACACCCACCAGTGCCAACCTAAACCTCCAGAAGGAAGTCGTCCCTCTTCCTTCCATATCAGCTGGCTCTTGTCTCAGGTGGACATGGCCCACAAAGGCTGCTTCCAACACAGCTGCCTGGGTTGGGCTTTGCGACTGATCCTGGCATGGATTTTCTTGGTGGCCTGTGGAGGGAGCCACCCACTGCAAGCTAGGTCCTGGGGACACCCTGGGCTGGCAGCCAAGGTGAACACAGACCAGCTGCAGCTAACAGGTGAGCATGCCCTCTCACCCCTAACTCCAAGAAACCCCACTTAGATATTCCTTGTAAGAGGTCTTAGGGAGCTGGGCGGTGGTGGCACACGCCTTTAACCCCAGCACTTGGGTGGCAGAGGCAGGTGGATTTCTGAGTTCAAGGCCAGCCTGGTCTACAGAGTGAGTTCCAGGACAGCCAGGGCTGCACAGAGAAACCCTGTCTCGAAAAACCAAAAACAAAAAACAAAACAAAAAACAAAACAAAATAAAAAAAATAGGTCTTAGGGTAATAATAGAGGGTGGACAGACAGAGCTACTGATGACTTCTGGTTTTAACAGCTCAGAGTCTGGTTGTCAGAATTCTGGGTTCAAGTCCCAAATCCATACCTTGGTGCTCTGTGACCTTAAGCAAGTCAGATAACCTAGGCAGAGTGTTAGGCATGGCGGCGCCCACCTGTAAGCCTCACACTTAGAAGGTGGAGTAGGAGGATTAAGATTTCAAGGCCGACCTCGGCTGTATGGGGAGCTGGAGGTCAGCCTGGGCTACATGCAGCTGTCTCAGAATGAACAACAGGAGCTGGGCAGTGGTGGTGGATTTGATCCTAGCACTGAAAGGCAGGCGGACCTGGGGTATGAGGCCAGACTGAATTCCAGGACAGACAAAGCTAACGGAGAAACCCCGTGTCAAAACAGGAAATAAGTAAATAAGGCTGCTGAGGTGGCTCAGTGGGTAAAAGTGACCCAAGCTACCAACACCAATGACCCAGGTCAGATCCCTGGACCGGAAACCGTGAAAGGGGAAAACCAGCTCCTGCAACTTGTCCTCTGACCTCCACACACACTGTGACACATGAGCTGTCACACACACAGACACACACAC